ATGCTACAGTCTAAATTAGGAATGTTAACTTTGTGGATTCAAGGCAAAATGTCTTGTCCTCTTTGTAATGATTAGAAAGCAAGGCAATAAGTAGCACAGAATAACAAATGACCTAAGTTTGCTACAAGTAAATGCCCATTTTTTACAGTGGTTTTCAACATCTTTTTCATTTTTGGATTTAAAGTTTCCCTTATTTTCTAGCAGGGCCAAATGTACATTGGAAAAGATGATTAAAATGTATTCACCATACTTACATTTTTATATGGGGAAGGTTTTTGATGTCTAATATGAATTAAGCTGAAAATGATAGTCTCCTTTCATGCTTAAACTCTTTACATTCTGAATTCCTGCTTTCACCTCAGTTCTTGCAAATTTTCTCAAAGATCTCATAAGTACCAAATTTTATTTATGCCTCTCAGTGCTCATTTGCTCATCATTTCCCCTCATTTCTAATTTCTGTTTTCCATTGCCGTTATCTTTTTTTTTTTTTTTTTTTTTTTTTTGCTCTCTTTGTAACACTACCACCATTTCCTAAGGTTCAGACTTCAAAATTACATAATAAATTTTCCTCTCTGTACCCTATATTCCATTAATCAGGAAATTCTATAGATTCTTGCTACTTATTATGCTTTTGTCTGTTTTTTTTTTTTTTTCTATCATTCTCAGACCAGCAAAAAGTCAGACCCTACAATATTTCTTGTTGGTCTTTCTCATCTTTGTATATGCCCCACCTCCATGTCTGATCATGCCTTTCCTCGCTTTAAAAATCTAGAGACTAATGTATTATATATTATATAACTTTCTTAGGTTAATATTCAAATTCTTCCTTTATTTGGCCCTAGACTATTTTCAACCATATCTTTCACAAAACACTTTTGAAGACAAAAATCATGCCATATGAAATGATTTATTGTTCAGTAAACATAAAATCACTCCTCTCAATTTCTTGGGCTTGTGATGTCTTCCAAATGAAATACATTTTACAATGAGTTTGCATCCCCACAAATTGAAAGTAACTTTTGTCAAGATAGAGACTAAATGCTTGGTACAGACATCTTGCATGGATGCTACCAAGGATTCCAAAGTTGGAAATTATCTCCCTTTTCTTTTCTTCTTCAGAATCTTTTATCTATTTTATTGTGTTTATCAGATGCTGCCTGGTTAGATGGACATTTACGTATATCTTCCTATTAAACTGCAAGGTCCATGATAACTGGGTCTTTTCAACCTCTTTGTATAGTTTTTGGTACTAATCACAGTGAATAAATCATAGAAGATTTTCAACAAATGCTTATTGAGTCTGGAGGTAAATATTGTGAATGCAAACTAATCTTTCTTTTTAAGAATGTACAAAATGCTATTATTCTATATGATGAGGAACCAAATAGAAATCAGTAAAGACAGAAGAAGGCTTCTTTTGTCCTCTATGGATGATATGTCATTCCGGAAAAACACATGCTCTAGTTTCCTAAATTGAAAACTTATAAATAGCATTATAATATCACCATGGTATACCATCAAAAGAAATAATTAAAATTGTTTTACAACTGAATTTAAAGAGTATCCCTTATATTGCATATTACTTTACTCATTTAATTATCGTTACCTTCTGTGTTGGCCCAAGATTGCATAGCAAGTAAATGTTGGAGATTAAATGTATACATAACTATTCTAAAACTCTGATTTTGTATACTTCACACATATTTGTTCTATTATATTAAGCTTATACTGGTTGTAGAATTTCCTTTGTGAGATCATATATCAACAAAAGGTCAAAGACAGTGTTCAACTCCCTTGCAGAATATGTTTAAATGCATTGTACTAAGCTCCAACATAGTCATTCTGCATATGTGGGAAAGTTCTTTTCAGACTTAGAGTTCTTGAATTAGAATAAGAGTTTGAAATTACACTTACAACCTGATAGGAGCTGATATGTTATACTAAATACAAACTATAAGTAGTATTTTTTCAAACTGTTGACATGTGCCCAAGTAACACATGGACTACATTGTTTCCCCAAAAGGTTTTTGGTTTAATCTAGTGTTTTTCAGATCAGATTTCACAGATGTGTTGTCAGGAAATGTTAGATGGTCCACACACCCTATATAGTCACTAATTTAGTGTTAGTTTTGTGATTCTATTTGAAATAAGCAATTGACACAATTGATAGCATTTAGCTTTTATTGTATTGGCAAACATGTCTTAGCATTAGCAATTACCTTGGTATTTTCCAATATTAAAATGATCACTATCTGTTGCTATGTTTATATTTGGATTTTTATTATAAGCATATCTACCATTTGATCCTAATATCAAAAACGTAAAATCATTCTAACACAATTTTCATGTTGGACTTTTTAACATCAACAGACAAATATATAGGTATAACTTTCTATTGAAAATGTTTTCATAGATTAAGATTTCAATTTATTAAGCAATATAATAAATTGGGACCTGATAGTAAGAAAGAGCTTTGAGGGAAAGTAATGTCCCATTTATAGTGGATTGAGAAAAGGAAAACAGAGGCTGATTTAAAATGCAAATACAACATGTGCACCAAGGGAAGGGCCAGATGCTATCACAAAGGAAAAGATCACTTAAATAGAGAAAAGTGGTGAGGCGTTCCTGCTATCACCATTAGTTTGCTGAACCTCCACTTACACTGTAGCAGTCAGTACCGCATTTATATTGAGAGTTTCAATTTAGTTTAACAAAATATCCATCACATTAATTTAATGCTGTTACTCTGAATTTTTATTTTCTTAACTTTTTTTAGTATTTGCTATAAATGCTTGGTTTTATGGTTGGGAGAGAATTAGGTACATAAGGGATTTATTCTGTCGTATGTTTTTATATATTAAGCAAGATAAAAATAACTGAAGTCAACACTGCTAGTTCATAATACATCTTTCCTTTATGTGAGTTTTTTTTTTCTTTTCTCTAGTTAGGAGTCATTGTCTTTAACTATAATCATTCATACAGCAGTTTATAAACAAAAACAAACATAATCTAAATACCTACTATAATCTGTTTTTGAAATGCTAATAACAGGTTTGCCAGTTTTAAAGTGTAAAGCAATTCATTATCACAGCTAGCTGACAAAAGCTTGGGGGCAATGATTTGCTAAAATGATATTAAGAAAAATACAAAACAGTTAACCCTTGAACTTTGAAACTGTTTGAAAATACTAGAATGAGTCTGTACTAGTATGTATAACATTTTGTTATTTATGGACATTTAAAAACAAATGAAAACGCTTGAAAATAGCTGAAAATTAAATACATCTTAATCAAACCAAGTCAACTTCCTCCTCAAGGTGAATAAAATAGCAACAAAAAATTCAGGGTCTCTATTTACCAAAAGTTTATTCTTGTATTTCTTCTCTCTCTTGTTTCACATATTTCAGGCATTTTGCCAATGTTTAGGCCAGTGATCTATTTATTGCCATGAGATAATATAACAATAGATGATAGTGGTCAGAAGTCTTCTCAAACTGCACAGCTTTCTCCCTTAGTAGATTTAGGAGTTTTGTGTTTCTTCCCAAAATAATTTGATTATACTTTGCCAACTGCCAAAATTCTTGTACTAGAGAAATGAGTAAAGTAGCCCTCTAGTGAGGCTATTCATTTGAAGCCAGATTTTCACTCAATACAACAAAATGGCTGCAGGCAGCTGTTTCACAGTGACCCTAAAATGCTGTGTTTTACAAATGCATATATTCAGGATTATAAGCTTTGGTGCCACCTGCTCTTGAATAGTGTGCCATTTTTCTTCCCCACTGCTCCCCTAACCCTTTATCATCACTTCACAAATCTACTCTCCAACTATTAATCCAAATGAAAATATCAAATACTTGGTTCAATGGTAAGATAAAATTACCATTATTGCTATGGTTTGAATGTATGTGTTCCCTCCGAAATTCATGCTAAGTCTTAATCCCCAGTGCAACAATATTAAGAGGTGGAGCCTTTAGGAGATGATCAGCCTCAGAAGAGGAGCGCTGCAGTGAGACCCTCATTCTTCTTAGTGTGTATCTAAGTGGTCATGATCGGAATGCGGGTAGAAATAGGGGAAGATTCTGAGATGGTCTTAGACGGAAAAGACAAGTACTATATTGAAAACTAGAGGAAAGGACAACCTTGTTACAAAGTTGCAAAGAACTTGGCTGCATTGCGTCAGTGTCCTAGGGTTTTGTGGAAGGCAGAATTTAAGAGCAGTGAACTTGGATCTTTGTGGAGGAAATGTCTGTGTAAAGTGTTCAGGCTGCTGCATGGCTTCTATTGATATCTTAAAGTAAAATGCAGAAGAGAGAAATAAATAAGATGGAATGTATAATCAAAAATGGAACAGAAATTAACGATTTGGAAATTCTAAACCTTTCCATGTAAAGAATGAAAAGGGGGTGTTTGGGGGAGAATATCAAGAATGTGGCCAAGTGATACGGAAATTAGTCTGGATAAAAGAAACCCAGATGTCATTCGTCAAGACAGTGTAAGAATGATCCTGAAGGAATTTTGGAGATCTTTAAGGCTGCCACTCCCATCACAGACCCAGAGTGCTAGGGCCTTGAGAGCAGCAATATCTCAAGGTAGGGGCCCCGAGGTCTGGGCTCACAGAAGGGCTGAGGTCTGGGCTCAGAGAAGGGCCGCAGCTCTTCTCTCCTCATCGCCCGCAGCGCCGTGAGAGGGAGGGTGTGTTTCAGGGGGCTGTGTTTCAATCTGTTTTTAAGCTCTTTCGGTCCTGGGGCCCCGCTCCAGCCCGCATCTCCTGGACTGGCCTGGCCCTGCCTCTGCTTCCTGTTGTGTGGGGCGACCACTCAGTGCTGGCAGAGGGTGGGAGGGCTATAGTGTTCACAGCTCTGGCTCAAGCAATACCAAGGTCTGGGCCCCCAGAAGAATCACTACTCTTCATTCCCACAGTCTGTGAGCGTGTCGCTGCCCGCAGCTCGGTGAGTCAGTCAGGAAAGTGTTACAGCTTCTTTCACTCCTGCTGTTTGGCAGGTCCTGAGTTCTTATCCCGCATCCAGGAAGAATGAAGTTATGCGGACACCTGGAGAGTGAGCAAGGCTGGGAAGAGCTTTATTGGGCAACCAGACAGCTCTCAGAAGAGAGGTGACCTGAACAGCTAACCCCTATCTGCAGGTAGGTACTCCCAACTAGCGTCCAGTCTGGCGGTGGGGAACGGAGGAAGTGTGTGTTGATTGGTCCATGAGCAGGAGAAAGTCCATGCTAATTGGTCCATGGGTGGCCATGGAAAAAGCACCACTTGATTGGCTGGAAGACATCAAGGAAGTTGTCACTCCGGCAGCGGACTTCACCTGGAACTGGCAATTTGTTCCCCAGTTCACTGGGGACCCACCCTCCGCTGCCTAGGAACCTGTGTGCCTCCTGCCACCATCAACATGCCATCCATGGCGCCCAGGCTGTCTGCACCAAGGAACACCCGCAGGCCCATTCTGAACCACCCTCAGCCCCTGGCCTCCCTCCTGTGTTCTTCAGTGGCCACAGTTTTAGCCTCAGAAGCAGTTTCTGGAGGGACCCGAGGCCGTGGGGGGCTGGCATGTTAGTGTTCCCCTGAGCACATGCACATCTGACCAGATTGTGACAGCTCTCGGGCTTAGCTGTTGGGACACGTCCACAACTTTGCTCTGCTGCAGAGCAGTGCTGGGAACAAAGAGAGGCCAAGTAGCGGGGGCAGGCACTTCCAAGCCTGTGGGGGCAGGAGGCTTCCCAGGCCCCGGAGAGCTCAGGGATGGATGCCTGGATCTGGAGCTGCGGCTGGGCAGCTGCCCACTCGGTAGGGTGTGAGTTTCTCACTGGGATCACCTGTTCCTGGTCCCCGCCGGCTCTACAGAGGATGCAGCCCCGCCCGTGCCTCCCTGGCTGCAGTTGATGTCCTTGCAGCAGCCGCTCCAGATGGGCTGCCGCCACCACCAAAAGATTCTTCTCAAAACTCAAGATTTGATACTGTCTGCCTTGTTGGGCTTGGGCTTAATTGGAACTTTTTAATGTTTATCTTATGCCTGTCCCACCATTGTATTTTGGAAGCAAAATAGTGTTTGATGTCATAGGTTCACAGCTGGAGGGGAATTTGCCTCAGGATGACTCATACCTTGACTCTCACCCATATCTGATTTAAATAGGACTTTTGACTTAGACTTTAATGCTAATGGTGGAACAAGTTAAGACTTTTGAGGCTATTGATAAGAAATAAAGACATTTTGCATGTGGGAAGGATATGAATTGGGGGGTGGGGGCTAGGGGCAAAAATGCTGTAGTTTGAATGTATTCCCTCCAGAATTCATGTTGAAACTTAATCCCATCTGCAGCAGTGTTAAGAGGTGGTGCCATTATGAGGCGATCCCTCATGGATGAAATTAGTGTGCTTACAAAAGGGCTCGAGGGAGTGAGTTTGGCTCCTCTTGCCCTTCCTTCCACTATGTAAGGACACAGTTTGCCCATTTTGCCACACGAGTTTGCAGCAAGTTCCCCACCAGACAATGAACACCTGTACCTCGATTTTGGACTTTCCAGCTTGCAGAACTGGAAGACAATTTTTCTTCTTCACAAATGGTCCAGTCTCAGATATTTTTGTGATAGCAGCACAAATGGACTAAGACAATTATCTTTCTTTTTTTCCCACAGCTCATTGATTAGGACTGTTGAAGCTTGGGAGGCAGATGCCTGTCGGAAGCATGGAGAATGTTTAAAAACATAGAAATCTATCTAAGACATTTATTGCCAGCTGTCACAGATCCCATATTTAGAAAGGCTCCCAGGCCAGGCATGGTGGCTCACGTCTATGATCCCAGCACTTTGGGAGGTCGAGGCGGGTGGATCACGAGGTCAGGAGTTCGACACCAGCCCGGCCAACATGGCGAAACCCCGTCTCTACTAAAAATACAAAAATTAGCTGGGTGTGGTGGCACGCGCCTGTAATCCCAGCTACTCAGGAGGCTGAGGCAGAAAAATCGCTTGAACCCCAGAGGTGGAGGTTGCAGTGAGCCGAGATCACACCACTGCTCTCCAGTCTGGGTGACAGAGCAAGACTCCGTCTCAAAAAAAAAAAAAAAAAAAAAGAAAGAAACAAAAAAAAAAAGAAAGGCTGCCATCCCAACAATTATGCACAAAAGTCTATTCAAGTGTCTTGCATGTACAGAGATTTTTTCTGATTATTTGATTATGCTATTGTTCTGTGAGTAAATTAATGCTCTGGGTGAGCAAATAGAGTGGCTAGTATTTATTTCTTAAATGTTTGATTTATTTTTTTTCCAAAAAAGATAAGTTCCTTTTTTCCTTTTCCTTTTTTTTTTTTTTTTTTTGCACTTAACTAAAAATATCCCTTCACTGTCACATCTGAATTTGAAAGAAAGTTGCATCCTTTTTCTTAGACTCAAAACAATTTACCAGGTTTTTGCAGTGTTTCAAAAGGTTTTAAAAATTCTTTAGCTATAATATCCCAAAAGGTCATAAATTGACAATATTTTTCCATGAAGGTCAGTTTCCATCATTTTTGTCCCTTTTTCAGCTTCTATCTGTCACGGCAAATCTCTGTACCTCTTTCCTTCTGTCTGCCTTTTTTTCACTTTCTTTGCAATGTTTTCTCTGTGCTTTTCCCACAAAACTCTTGTTTCTTTATCCATTTTACAACACTCTGTAAATTGTTCATAATATGGAAGTATATTTCAGTATGAATATATGTATGTATATTTAACACATACATATAGAAATTTGAACACTTTAAAATATGACCAAATGACTTTTCATTGTGTTTTAGGCAATATCTTTAATTATACACTAAATTCATATTTTCATTTGATAAGGAATTTACTCATGCCAACTAAAATTTATCTCTTTATTTCCTCCTCTGTTTTGCTACTTACATTATTTTTTATTATTCTATTTACTAAAATATTTAGATGTTTATTTCTTGTTTCATCCATATTAAAACTATTTCAAAATACATCACTAAGTAATAGGATAAAATTAGGGCTCCTTTACTCCTGTTTATCTACTGCCTACAACCTTAAGTATTTATTTTTATATACCAAACCATTATTTTTTAATTGTTCTATTTGTAATATTTACATTCTATTGAATAACTAATAGAATGCAATTAAAAGGGAATTCAAAATTCTTTGTTTATAGGTTAAGTTTTTAAAATGGAAAATAAATAAAGGTTGTTATAATATTATGATTATATAAATATATTACAGGAATAAACATGATAACTAGACCCACAGAAAATGCATGTAGTTCTATGTCATTTCAAAGAGAATGAGTATGTTGCAAGAGAGATCAAATGTATTCAGATTCTTATATGTTAATGCTTGTTCAAAATCAAGTCATAATAAAGGACAAGCTACAAAGTGAGAAAAAAATACTGGGAAATCACTTATCTGACAAAGGACTATGTATAGAATATAAAAACACCACTCAAAACTCAACAGGTAATAAAACAACCAATCCTTTTTTAAAAATTGGAACATAAACCATCACTTCACCAAAGAACATATACAGATGGAAACAAGCACATGAAAAGATGATCATCATCATTTCCCCGATTAGAAAAATACAAATTAAATCCACAGTGAAATAATATATATTAGAATGACTGGAAAAGGAAACTAAGCAGATGTCACAAAACCAAGCAGATGTCACAAACCAAGCAGATGTCACAATACAAATATGCACTTAATACATGATCAAGGAATCCCACTCAGGTATTTATTCTAGAGAAATAAAAACATGTTCATATAAAAGCTCATGTACAATATTTATAGCAGCTCTTTTTATAAATGCCAAAACATAGAGATAAACTACATTTCTTCAACGAGTGGATATATTGTGATACGTTCATATAATAATCTTCAATAATAAAAAGTAGTAAACTATTGATACATACAAGGATTAATATTTAAGGCATTAAGCTGTGCTGAAGAAGGGTGTTTTAAAAGGTTACATAATGTATGATTATATTTATATGATGCCTTAGAAAAGGCATAACTGTAATGAAGATGAAATAATGAGTGAGGTTGGATGAAGTGGCTCATGCTTGTAATCCTAGCACTTTGGGAGGCCAAGGCAGGCAGATCACCTGAGGTCAGAAGTTCAAGACCAGCTGGCCAACATGGTGAAACCCCGGCTCTACTAAAAATACAAAAATTAGCTGGGCATGGTGGCGTGTGCCTGTAATCCCAGCTACTCAGGGGCTGAGGCAGGAGAATCTCTTGAACCCGGGACGGGGTTGTTGCAGTCAGTTGAGATCATGCCACTGCACTCCAGGATGGGTGACAGAGTGAGACTCTATCTCAAAAAGAAGAAGAAATAATGAGTGGTTGCCAGAGGTTAGTGTTGGGGAAATGGTGCAACTACAAAGGGGCAGCATGCTGGAGATTTGTAGGTGGAGGAAATTGTTTGTATCCTCAACTATGGATCGTGGTGGTATTAACATGTTTTAATACTCATGGAATTGTACGTCAAAGAGATCAATTTTAGTGTATGTAGTTTTCAAAGAGTAAGATAAAGTAAAACAAGTTGTACCACGTATTAGTTACTTCAGATCTGGAATATAACTTCCAACACTTTCCCTAGAATTTCCTATTGTATTTTTCCTTTTTGATAGAAGAAAATATATACTTTTAATCAAGTAAATGTATAAAAGATTTATGTAAATGTATACATTTATATAAATTACGTAAATTTATAAATTTATGTAAATATCTTACAGCTTCTTAATAATAATAATAGTATATGTTACATGGCACTTACTTTCATTTTGAGAGCATTCTTGGAGTCCTTTGACCTTCTATCTAATTTTGACTAAATATTTGCTAGGTGTACTATACTATTACATCCATAATTTTTTTACCTTTGCACTCCTGGGTTGGTTCTGTTGTTTCCTGGATTTTGAGCTCTTTTCTCAGGAAAGTTTACAATTTTCTCTATTTAATATTTAATTTTTTTAACTAAATCTTCATGAGAGATAAGATTTATAGATTTTTGCATGCCCCAAAAATATATTTTTCTTTTATGCCTGGTAATAATTGGTCTGGGTAAGGAAATCTATGTTCCATGTCATTTTTAAAGAGCTCTGAAGGTGCGGATATCAAACTCACTGTCTTAATTTGGGTTCCTCAAGAAAGCAGGAACTAAGCAAAAATTTAAGTATAGGTAGTTGATTTTGGTGTTAGACCCAGGAATCAGAAGTGAGACAGTGGGGAGAGTGAGGTTGTTAAGAAAGAAAATGTAATGTTAGGGTGCTCTATCAAAGTAGCTGCTGTGGACAACTGGGCCCAATTCCTCCAGCATCTTCTGAGAACTGTACCTACTACCTGCCAGATTTTTCCATCTGGAGTATAGGACACTGGAGTACTTGATACACAGGTTACCACTCCACATTGTTTGTTGGATTCTCTTTAGGTGCATTAAATTTCTCCTTCCACTGCCATTTGTTGTTAGTACTTGAAAGTTCCTACAGTGCTGGAGAAAGCTCTGAGGCAAAATGCAAAAAGATGCACATTTTTCAGCATTATATAAATTTGAGGCCACTTGGAACTGTCTACTACAACTGATAATGAAATCATATTGTGCATTGACAGGATGTGACCAAGGACCCACCCCAGAGGTGTCTGGTTCACTCCTTACACTGTAGATATATCTGCTTATGTACCTGACATGGTTTGGCTGTGTCCCCACCCAAATCTCATCTTGAATTGTTATTCCCATAATCCCCATGTGTCATGGGAGGGGCCCGGTGGGAGGTAATTGAATCATGGGGGTGGTTACCACCATGCTGTTCTCCTGATAGTGAGGGAGTTCTCATGAGATCTGAGGGTTTTATAAGCATCTGGCATTTCTCCTGTTGGCATTCATTCTCTCCCCTGTCACCCTGTGAAGAAGTGCCTTCTGCCATGATTGTCAGTTTCCTGAGCCCTCCCCAGCCAAGAAGAACTGTAAGTCAATTAAACCTCTTTTCTTTCTAAACTACCCAGTTTTGAGTATTTCTTGTGAGAACAGCCGGTACAGTACCACATTAAGTTCACTCAGTTTCTGATACTTCAAGGTAGTGACAAGCTGGAATTTTTATAAGATTTAATACAGGAGTCTTAGTGGAACAGACTACAGTCCCTAATGCTGCCACTTTGTCCAAGACCATTAGAGATATTTACCATCTCTTGTCTCAATTGTTCATTCTAGATTTTCTCCCTTTTTCAGGCAGAATTTTATCTCATCTAAACAGCTTACCTGGTGTGATGACCAAGAGCTTTCTCTCTGAAAGGTCAGTTAAATTACTCAAAGTTTCTTCTGTGATTACCAACCATCTACTTCTGGATAACAAGGCACTAAAACATTTAGTGGCTTAAAACAACATATTATTTATTGTTTATTATGGTTTCCTGTGTTGACTAAACTTAGCTGGATTGTTGCTTGGGATCTCTCCTATGGTTGCAGTCTGTTAGAAATAGATATTGCAGTCATCAGAAGGCCCAAATGACCTGAATGCCCAAGTTCCAGTTCACTGCAGGCTGTTGACTGGGGTATCTACACATTGCCTGTCCATGTCTTAGGCTTCTCAGGTATGGCAGTTGAGTTCCAAAAATAAGTTATAGACAGACAGGAAGTAGAAGTGTTATGGGATCTTAGTGGTGTCAGTTTTTCTGGCTGGAAACCTCTGTGGCTAGTGGTGCCTTTGCCTGAGTTCTTGTCCTATGTCCAGAAAGAATGAGGTATGCAGACAAATGAAGGATGAACAAGACAAAGAGGAGCTTCATTAAGTGTTAGAACAGCTCAGAGGAGACCTGCAGAGGGTAACTCCTCCCTGTTACTATCAATGTCTGCTGCTCTCAGCAGAGTGGGGGCCCTGGAGAGGGTAGCTCCTCTCTGCAGCTGGTAGCTCTCATGCCTCTGCTGGTCTCTGAAGCTCTCAGTAAGAGAAGGTAGCTCCTCTCTACAGCTGGTCATCCCAGTCCCATCACCTCTCTGTTCTCTCCACTCGCTGCCCTGCTCTGACTGAGCCCGGGGCTTTTATTGACCTCAGAGGGGAGGAAGTATGTGCTGACTGGTCCATGGGCAGCCATGGGCAGGCCCAGGAAAAGGCACCATAAGTTCCCCATCTTGTCTGCAGGACTGGCATCCTGGCCTCCAGGCTTCAGGCCTGTTCTGGCCTGAAGGTGGGGCTTCACTGGGGATTCACCCCCTTCCTCCCAGGAGCCTGTCTGCCTCCCACATCATCCATAGAACCCAGGCTGCTGGTATCTGCAGGCCATCACCCAACTACCCCCAACCCACCTCAATGTCCCCTCCATACTTCTTGGTGCCTAAAGTCCAGAGGGGGCCAAGGCAACAGGGGGCTGGCATGCCAGTGCTGCTCCAAGTGTGGGCACACCTGGCTAGTCTGTGACAGTGCCCAGGCTCAGCCCCAACCCTTCTCCAATATTGGAGCCAATGCTGGGAGTTGGGATAGGCTAGGCAGTGGGAGCAGGCACCTCTGATCCTACAAGGGCAAGGGGGCCCTTCCCAGGCCCCCCAGGAGTGCAGGAATGCCTAGGTCTGCAGCTGTGGTTTGGGAGGCTGCAGCTGTGCTGGGGGGCAGGGCTACTGCCTGCTTTTGGAGTGGGAGGCCCACATCCACAGTCACAATGTGGACAACTGCAGCCTCACCCTCCTGGCAACTCCAAGTCCTTTCTGGGCCTGGGCTGACATCCAGGGCAGGCATGACGTTGCTGTGAGCTGCCCCTGTGGCCTTAGCACGCAACCTGGCCCAGCGCCATCATGGCAGCTCCCAGGGTGGTGGGCTGCAGGCAGCGAGGGCTGTCCAACTCCTTCCTGTGCCCTCCCTGAGGTGGCCAGCGTGATGGCAGTGGTTACCCCAAATGGCCCACTTTTGCCATCAGAAGCTGCTAGTTTCTTAAGGCCAGGACCTGGCATAATGTGACTTGTATTATATTTTATTAGTTAAAGAAATTATAGATCCTGCTCAGATTTAAGATGGGCATAAGACTCATTTTCAATGGAAAGATTGAACTTCTCATAAAATAACCTATGTTTGCAACTAAGTAGTTTTCTTAGTGTCCTTCCTGTTTAGATATCCAGAGAGAGCTTTTTCTTTAATTTTGTCCCATTTCTCTCTCTTCCAGTCCAAGCTGATAATCATTCCTTTAAAGTTTTTGTGGACTTTCTGTGTATTAAATTACAATCCACTTTTTTAAACCAGTGGTTCTAAATATAGATTGTTTTGTCCTACAGGCATTTAGATGGTCTGGAAACAATTTTGACCGTCAAGAATTGGGTGAAGAGGCCAGGCGCCGTGGCTCGCACCTGTAATCCCAGCACTTTAGGAGGATGAGGTGGGTGGATCACCTGAGTTCAGGAGTTCGAGACCAGCCTGGCTAACATGGTGAAACCCCATCTCTACTAAAAATACAAAAATTATCTGGGCATGGTTGCGGGTACCTGTAATCCCAGCTACTCGGGAGGCTGAGGCAGGAGAATCGCTTGAGCCCAGGAGACACAGGTTACAGTGAGCCCAGATTGCGCCACTGCACTCCAGCCTATATGACAGAGTGAGACTCCATCTGAAGAAAAAAAAAAGAAAGAATCGGGTGAAGATGGTCCTACTGGTATCTAATGGGTAGAGCTCACAAATATTGCTAAACATTCTACAAGGTACAGGACAACACAAAAGACTCCCTCATCCCAACAAGGAATTATCTGACCCAAAATGTCTATAGTGCCAAGGTTGAAAAGTCCTGCTTTAGATAACAGCCACACCCGTAAGTCTATTTGAGACAGCCCCTTCATTACCTTTGGTTCCCTATGATAATGTCTTCAATATTATTAGAAGACTTAATGTGTCACAGAGAGGGTATACAAGGACCTTTATCTGTTTGAAGTTATCTTTCAGATACCACTTTAGCTCTTTCTTCAGTTTATCAAGGACCTTATACTTCCACACAATTTGATCTTTGTTTTGAAAAAATTTATACTATGGCATTCTCTTTCTGGAGAGATTGGAGATTTTTAAAAAACAGTCTTATTTTTGGGCCCAGAAAGCTTGACCTTTTATGTTTCATTTAAATTCTGATTTTAAAAAATGGAAGTATTTCCCCTTTGTTTAATTTCTCTCTTCTTATATTTTATCATAGGCAGCTAAAATCAGCCAGATGAAGCTTGAAATTCTGCCTTCAAACCTCCCTAACTATCCCAATGTTACTGGGTACTCTTTCTATTTTTCTTATTGCCAAAGGTGACAGTGTTGCCAGATTTTCTGCCACTACATAAAAAGTGCCTCTTTTCACTAGCTTCTGTTATGGACTGAATGTATGTATCCTCCACGAATTCATATGTTAAAGCCTTAACCTCCAATGTGACTATCTTTGGAGGTGGGGCCTGAGAAGTAATAACATTCAGATGAGCTGATGGTGGTGGAGCCAGCATGATAAGATTAGTTCCCTTATAAGAAGAGGAAGAAAGATGGATTTCTCTAAAAGTACACACATTGAGGAAAGGCCATGTGAGTGATACCAACAAAGTTGGCCCACCTTAAAATGGGGTCTTTCCCTGTCCAGTGCCACAAAGTCAATATGCAAAACCAAAAGTGAGAGTCAAGAAGTGCAGGTATAGGGCATATTTAATGAAAGGGTTGGGCATTAAAAATGAGGAGAGGAATATTCATGTATTTTCTGGGAGCGGGTAGAGAACTTGGAACTGGAGTTGCCACCTTCCTTTTTGTCATTTTGTGGTTTATTCTGGTCGTTGTTATAGTGATTGTCAATGGTCATGGTGCTTGTGGGAGTGTCACTGAGCATGTATATTAGATTATAATGAAGTTAGAAGCTCTTCAGAGGTCAGGTGACCTGCCATTTTACATCCCACCAGTCTTAGCTGGTTTAATCACAAGGGGAAACTTCTGACTTTAGTCCTCCTGTCTCCTAAAGATAAGCAGAGTTAAGGTGGTATAGAAATTGATCTAGGTCTTAAAGGCATTACACTAGGTAACATGAGGACACAGTGAGAAGGTGGTCATTTGCAAGCCAGAAAGAGGGCCTTTGTCAGGAATCAAATCTGCTGGTCCCTTGATCTCAGACTTCCAACCTCCAGAACTGTGAGAAGGGTCTGTGGCTAAGCCACCTAGTCTTTGGTATTTTGATATAACAGCCTAGGCTGAATAGGACAGCCTCTAATAACATCCTCACTGTCTTCAAGCCCTCTCCAGCAGCCTCCTTAAGGTCTTCCAGGTTTCACTATCAGTCTCCTGCAAACTCTTCCAGCATCTGCCCATTGCTTAAACCCAAAGCCAATTGTCGTCAATTTTTAGGTTATGTTTTTTCTAGGAGTAACATTTACTTTGCTCTTGTTAGGTTGTCACAGCTGTAATTATTCCTTCATCATTGTCACCAGGCATGTGAGCACCAACATTTCGGTTTATATTTCTCTAAACTAATGCCTGAGAAAAAAGACTTAAGTGAAGTTCATTTGTTTGAAATAATATCCCAAGAAACAGGGTTAAGGGAAGGGAGTAGTGAGACCAGGAAGGAGGAAAAGATAATAAGGTCACTGGTTGGAGCTTTAGTCTGCTAGGATTTTTGAAGCACATGTAATGCCACCCAGAATTATCCACTGGAAAGACAGTATGCTTTTGAGTTGGGATGCTGTATCTGTGAGGTGTCCCTTTACATGAAATGTGCTTTTCAAATGTTCTGAAATTAGATTTGCAGCAAAGGGCTATGGCACAGAGGAGCACTGAAAATATCTTCTACACCAAAACTCATTATTTATAGGCTATTTTATTTTCTTTCTGGAAGCTCTTAATATTTTATCTTCATCCTAAATATTTTAGATTTGATAATTCCATGTCTAGGTGCAGGTCTTTTTGATTTCATTCTGCTTGGCACTTAGTGATCCTTTAAATATAAAGTCTCGTATCTGTTTTTAACTCTAGGAATTTAGAACTCATATATAATTTCTGCTTCTTCATTTTCTTCGTTCTTTCTTTGGAATCTCCTATTTATTAGGAATCAAAATCTGCTATATTCTATTTCTTTGTCTTTTTGCTATGTCCTCTAGGAGGTTTCTTTATCAGGAAACCTTTCTGCTGAGTTTTCAATTTCAGAAATCATATTTTTTCATTTCAAAAACTCATTCACAGATATTTGTTTTTCATGGCATTCTATTCTTGTTGCATGGATATATTATCTTATCAAATGGAACAGAAGAAAACTGAAGATATACATGTTTTATTTCTTAAAAATCTTCACATGAAGACAAGTTTCAAGGGGAATAAGCCAAATAATTGATCCTTGAGAAAACAAAAATAACAAGGAAAGACTTTGTTATTTATGTTTTATTATGTATTATTATTTATTATTTATGTATCATGTTTTATTTCCTTATTAATTGAGTTGTCTCTAGGATCAGTTATTTGTCTTATTCTTCTTGATACTCTTTATTACACAATGATTTTCCCAAATGTCTCATGATAATTGGATTTCCATTCATCTTTATGAATAAAAAAGTGTTAATTCACTTAAGTTGCTGGGATAAGTTTCGCTGCTGCGCTTTAGATATGTTTGTATATCAAACCAACAAGCATTTCTCTTTATCTAAGAGGGAAGTATGTGTGTGTGTTTTGCATTGTTTGTGTCTGGGTGTGATGTTACTGGTAATCAGCAGGTTTCATTTGAATGTATATAGATGGTACATAGATGAGAAGCAGGCAGACAGTCTGCCCATGGGATACCTTAGAGAAAATCAAGGTGACTTTAGATGAAAAATCTAGCACTTATAACATTTGCTATTCCCAAGCAGTTGATTTAATTTCTTTAGGAAATAGTTATTTGGTTTATGCTCAGGGAACATGCAAGACCTGTCAGGCATCATTCACATGGCAATGAGAGTCTGTTGGGAGGAGCCAAGATACCACGATGTGGACAGTTTTAAAATAATTTCCTTTGATTGCTTCTGTTAAGTTATTTCCTACCCCCTGGGCCTGCTAGTTCTTAGCATCAGCCTCTTCTAGATTCTCTACAAAGAGCAGTTTCCACCAATGCTGATGTCTGTTCCTATTCAGCTTCTGACCTATATCTTCATCTGCCTGCATAGTTTATCTGCCTTTATAACTTCTTCTACTTTTAACTATGCAAGAGCCATCAGAATATTTGGTCCAGGGATGGGCTCCCCACTCCAAAACGTACTTTGGTTATAAATTTATCTCATATTGCATGTCTTTACCCTAAGTTAAATAAAACTGTGATACATTGAAGAGGTAACTACATCTTTTCAGTCTGCTATTTTAAACTGGCAGCAACAAATATTTTCTTAATCTGTTTAATAAAGTGTTAATGTCTTCTAGTAACAATGTAAAAGTTAAGTAGAAAGTATTTTATATTTTTTAAAAACACAAAGATTTTCTTTTATATAGACCTTAACTTTTAATAGACTTTTAAAAACTTTTATTTAGGCTCAGAGGTATATGTGAAGACTT